GCACTGGCTGGCACTACACACGTACTGACCAGTGGAAGAGGCTCCAGGTCACACTACTCACTCCACACCCCCGACTATCTTTCTTCTTCTTGTCCAACTTTTTTTTTTCCATGATCATACTGCCATCTCTGCTGAAATTTAAGAAAGACTTAAAATCAGGGACACCTGTTGTAGTTGGAAACGACTGTGTTGTCTGTATTATAGTGACCATTGAGCCTGACAGCTGCACACACGAAGGGCAGTCTGGGTTCACTTCAATAGAAGCGTCTTCATGTTTGGACAGAAAATGCCAGCGGTACCTTGGATCCTGGGTTGTTGCTGTGGATGTATTTGTTTTTGCAGAAAGAATTATTTCTTGTTTGTTTAGATACACACACAAATGCACATGATAGGACTAGCAGTGGATTGACAAAGTTCAAGTGGGGAAATAAGAAGTATATATACTTAATTATTTTGCTTATCCTAAAATATAGAAGTCTACTTATTTCCCAATGTCTAGTAGAGGGTCAAAGCTTCATCTGAGTGGGAAACACCCTGGAGTTCTAGGGTTTCCTTTTTTTTGTGCAAATGGCACTTCTAGCACATCAAGGACAATTTCCAGGTCAGATTTTGTAAAGTGGCGTTAGAATGCTCAGCGGCCAGCACCGCAGCTCACTAGGCTGATCCTCTGCCTGCAGCGCCGGTTCTCCGGGTTCTAGTCCCGGTTGGGGCGCCGGATTCTGTCCCAGTTGCCCCTCTTCCAGTCCAGCTCTCTGCTGTAGCCCGGGAAGGCAGTGGAGGATGGCCCAGGTGCTTGGGCCCTGCACCCCATGGGAGACCAGGAGGAAGCACCTGGCTTCTGGCTTCAGATCGGCGCAGTGTGCTGGCCATAGCAACCATTTGGGGGATGAACAATGGAAGGAAGACTTTTCTCTCTCTCTCTCTCTCACTGTCCACTCTGCCCGTCAAAAAACAAACAAACAAACAAACAAATGTAATAAAAGTAACAAGGGGCAGGTACTGTGGCTCAGGAGGTTAAACCACCACTTGGGATGCCCTCATCGCAAATAAGTGTGTGGCTTGAGTTCTAGCTACTCCATGCTTCTGATTCAGCTTTCTGCTAGTGTACCTGGGAGGCAGTGGATGATAGTCCAAGTACTTGGGTTCCTGCAAGCCACAAGAGAGACCTAGATAGAGTTCCTGGATCCTGGCTTTGACCTGGCTATTTTGGGCATTTGGGGAAAAACCCTCAGGTCTCCTTCTCTCTGTCTCTCCCTCTGTCTCTGTCACTCTGCCTTTCAAATAAATGATCTCTTTTTAAAAAGTACAATGGCATTAAACTTGGGGACAAAGTGCAACTGATCCTTTGACAGTAAATGTGCTAGCTGGCGGGAGCAGGGGACAGGCATCTGTGAGGGCAGCCCACAGTGGCACCCAGCCAGCCCTTGAGTGCATCTGTCAATATGTCTTCACTTACCTATGGGGGAAGGTGAGGTATACGTTGGTTTGTGATATGTCTGCTGTTTATTAATCTCTTCTGGGGATTTGCAATGCATTTAAAGAAATGCAACTCTTTCTTAAGGGGAACAGGAAATCTACAAGTGAGGAGGTATTTCAGGGACATTGTATTCATCCCCTCCATGTCCCCAAGATGGCCCTGGGACAGAATCTGGTAGTCCCAGGGTTATAGGAATAAAGCTCAGTATGACAACTGTGGCAGATCGCAGTTCCTTCACATTAAAATGATAAAATGTGATCCACAGATTTTATGTCCAGGCTTCAGTTTTTCTGGTTCCTTAGTTTATACTATTTTCTGCTCCATTTTCCATCTTTTACTTACTAGGTGAGTGGCAGCTGTCTCACAAGATCTCTTTGCCATCTGATAATCTTTGGCCATTCAGAGGCGCTTCCAAATGCCCGTCTCCTTGGCATCAGTCCTGGCACTTGGTTTCCAGGTTGGGAAGGAACACCGCAGTATGGCTGAGCAAGGCTCTCACTCCCTGTGGTTCGCTGTACTTGTCACTAGTGACTAACCCCTGGGAATCAAGTGGGCGAGCAGCCAGGCATGACTTCTTTTTTGACCTTTCTGCAAGACTGTTACTTTCCAGTAGTTTATAGCCCTAAGAAGTCCTTTCATTGGTAAATTTATAGTCTCTGGTTTTGTCTTTAAATTGCTCCCATGAGAGGTAATATCCGAGCTGGGCTGGATCAGGAAAAGGATGGCGGGATGAAAGGGCATTCCAGGCTGAGGGAGCATCAGACATGAAGGCGTTGACTTGAGCAAGCACAGGCACAGTGCTGTAGGAGAAAAACATGGGCATAGACGCTGGGATCACTAAAGGTCTCATAGCCAAGCTAAGGAGTTGGGTGTTGTCTCAAAGGCAATGAAAAATTATTAACAGATTGAAAGCTAGGAAACGATATGAACAGATTGTAACTTATATCATCCTGTTGGCACCTCCAAATAGGCTAGGATGGGAGAGGCGCCTGAAGGCATGGAGACAAGATAAGAAGCTGTTAGAGTAAATCAGAGGAAAGATGGTAGAGACCTGAACTAAGGCAGTGATAGTTTGGAAAGAGAGAAAATGGATTCCTAGGCATTAAGCATGCCTGCATTCAGAACACTTACTAATGCTAGTTGATTGCATAGTTGAATTAAAGTGGCCAAAATCATGTTGAGATCATGAAAGAGAATGTAGATGTCCCATATGATCAAATTCCTGGGACTATTTCAGAACTTTTAGTCTTTTCACTAGAGCTGCCGTACATGACCAGGTAGGCTGTGACCTGCACAGCTCCAAGAGATGCTGTGAATATAGGCCAGAAGGCGTTTGAAGCCCTTTGAGCTATGCAATGCTAGAACCCTTCTCGCTGTGACTGGACAAATACATGTTCCCGGGGCAATCTACATGGCTTCCTGAGAAATGTTAGGTGAGATGCACGGAAGTTCTTGGATCTTAAGTGGGCGGAAGAAGTTCTTGCTCCACACCAAGGCTGAGCAAGTAGGAGAGGAGTACAGAAGGCAGCTGGCTCTCAGGGAACTAGGGAAAGACCTGCCGGTTGGTCAAGGGAAGCCCTTGGCATCACAGCAGGTGGCAAAAACTTCCATCAATGTGGTGCTTCGTGGCAAGGCCAGAACCCAGCCCCATCAAGGTGGCCTTGGTGCCCAGTTCAGGGGTCCAAGACATGGACCACAGAGGAACTTAGGAGAGTTTCCATCAAGGCAACCCCTCACTGGCATTACCTACACACTATGAGTCATTTTCCTTCCACTTCCTGTGTGACAAAGGCAATAAAGGGGATAAATCTTCCAGAAGCGGGCCAGTTGTTCACGATTCATAGTATTTCCAAAATATATGAAGTAAACGAATGTCTGTCATTGTTCCTCACTTTACATGCAGTAGATCCATTTCTAGTTCTTAGAAGTTATGGATATATACAAACTAATTTTCAAAAAACATTTAAATTTGTTTATATTAGAGAGAGAGAGAGGGTGACAGATGGACAGAAAGAGAGAGACAGCTCCTATCTGCTGGTCACTCCCCGAACACCTGCAGTGACTGGGGCAGAACCAGGCTGAAGCTGGGAGCTAGAAGCTGGGAACTCAATCCGGGTCCCTGATGTGGGTGACAGGGATCTGACTGCTTGAGCCACCACCTGCTGTCTCCAAGAGTGAATACCAGCAGAGGCTGGAATGGAGAGCAGAGTCAGGACACAAAGCCAGGTACTCTGACGGGGATGTGAGATCCAACATGGTAGCTTACCCACTAGGCCAAATGTCTGCCCTCAAATTTTGTCTCTTAAAATAGTTCTCACCATTATGACATGATGCTAGAGTTCAGATGGTGGAAGATTTTAACACAAAGTGGAAGTCTCTAAGAAAAGACAATTGCTGTGTAAACTACAATTTCACTACCAAGCACAGAGATGTTTCTGGCACGTTGTAGATGCTTGAAGAAAATTTGCAAAAATCCCAAAATGAATAGGTTTTTATAACCAAAATTCTGCACAAATTATCTCCTTTGGTCCTAACAACTTTGCAAAGTAAGTGTGGTTATTTTTGTTTTATAAAAAAGAAAATAAGTAAAAGTGCTCAAGTGCTCAGGATCACAGAGCTAACAAATGGTGTGACTGGGACATAGTTGCGATCCGTTGATTCTTCCCATTACTTGACAGTTGTTTTTTAAAAGCTTCATTCTGGGGGCCAGCACTGTAGCGTAGTGGGTTAAGCTTCTGCTTGCAGTGCTGGCACCCAAATAGGTGCCAAGTCATGTCCAGCTGCTCCACTTCCGAACCAGCTCCCTGCTGGTGGCCTGAGGAAAAAGCGGAGGATGGCCCAGGTGATTGGGCTCCTGCACCCACGTTGCAGACCCAGAGGAAGTTCCTGGCTTCTGGCTTCAGATCAGTGCAGCTCTGGCTGTTGCTGCCATTTGGGGAGTGAACCAGTGGATGGAAGATTCTCTCTCTCTCTCTCTTTCTCTATAGCTCTTTCAAATAAATAATTAAATTTTTTTTTTTTTACAAAAAGCTCCATTCTACATAATCCTGATTGAAAGGAACCTATCAAGGAATTCCTTTAGAATAAAGAAGACTATGCCCTAATTTATATTTTGTAAGTTAAAGAAAAACTGGTGTGGGGGATTTTCCTAGAGTGGTATCCTCATCTTTTAAATGCTTGGAACCCTGCTTCCACTCGTTTTGAAGATGGAGTAATTGAGCACGTAAAGAATGTACAAAAACCTGGAAACCACTAAAAGAAAAAGAAAAATAGCAAACACTAAAACCCTCCAAAAATGTAAACCTCCTTGCCTTTCCTTGTTATCACCTCTCTCACATTGAGCTAGCATTATATTGTACCCATTTCTTTTTGCCATCTGCTTCCAGGCTTAAAGTTATTACTGAAATTTGTTGGGCTGACATGATAAACTAATGAACTAGAAATCAACTAAAGAGGAACAAATAATAAAACAAACAAACAAACAAAAACAGATATTGAAAATGTTGGGTGAAGGGGGTCATGATTCACTGGAGGTTTCAGTTTTCTTCAATTCAAAAACTAAAGCAGGAGACCCCACCAGAGAGGGAAAGCTGGTTTCGGGGTCACCTCCATGATAGACCACTAACGGTAGACTCTGTCCACTGGTGGATGCTGAGGTTTCCGTGTCTCTCCTCGTTGCATGGGGACCTCTTGGTTTAAGGCAGCTCCAACCATCACATCCTTCCTCGGCCCTCTCCGTGTCTTTCCCTGGAGATCATGTTCTTTGGTTCCTGTCCTAAGCTGTTGCTGAGCAGTGCACACTTGTGCTTTCTCTCTGAGCTCGAGGATCAGGTGCTGGCTATGAAACAGAGAGATCCAGTTTCCATCAAGATCAAAGGTAAGTGAGCATAAACTAATATTAAGGACAGCACCTTCACCACCACGGCTCTTTCAGACAATAAACAGGACACATCTTTACAATTGCATGTGCAGACTACTCAAAGGAATTTGCGTAAAGCAATGTGCTGCCTTTTTGTAGACTCAGTTCTTGTTTGGTAAAAATGTTGTATCACGGACACAGGTCAGTGGATCTCAGCAGCCTGGCCTCAGATGGCAGATACTAAGAACAGCAAAACCTCAGTTTGTCTTTGGCTAAACTTCATTCATTAAATCATCCCAGAGTCCAGGGACTTTTTATTCAAGTTAACTCATCTAAAAAACTGATTAAATATCAAATTTTAAACAACAAAAAATTAATTTGCTCATTGTTTTAGTCATTAAAAGAAGATCCCAAAAGATAAATATACCTGCACACAAGCATGAAGTTTTGGTGGAGGTGGCAATGTACTCTGCAGCAAGCAAGTGGCAGTGTCACAATGGTGTTTACTGAAGGGTGCTATATTTAGAAAAGGCAAGGCTAATGGAGCCTGGCTTTCGGAGCCCTTTGATCCTCCCTTTCATTGCTGTGGGGGTGGGGAGTGGGTGGGGGGGGGGAGGGTTTGGGCTAGCCAAGTGGGGAGGAATCACCACCAGGCTTGAATCTCTGAATGCAGCCTTGCCACTTCAGGAAGGTTTGCATAAAAGGGATTGATTTTCATTCGATTCTGCAAATGGACTCCCTGAGCTAGCAGAAAAGAAGGGAATCAGAAGGGGAGAACATTCTTAGGCAGTGCTGGCAAGCTTCCAAATGCTTCAAGCCGACAGTGCAATTGGCTTAATCTGCTTCTTGAGGACTGAAGACTGAAATTTCAAGGCCAGAGACTCAGGAGCTAATAAGTGTTTGCCTGAAGTTCTGAATCTGCTCCTGGTAAAAACACAAAAGCAAAAAACAAGCTTTAACTCCTCTGCATTTAAAGTTGCAGAAATGGTGATCCTTTACCTTAACCTAAAACTTTTTTTACAATTTTACAGATGAATGATTTCTCTAAGACATTTCTCTCACATCTGCCATATGATTAAACTAAAACTGTTTAAGGCAAAAGATTCCTCTTTGAAATAAAATTAGCGTGCTTCACCTAAAATATTTGTTATTTGCTGATCATTTCCATGCACAAGCATTAATCTCAGTTTCATTTCAAAGATAAGACCAATAAGACCAGGTGCATTATGGTCTAGCAGGGAAACACAAATTCAAGACTGCAAATATGAGTGTATTTTAATTTCCATACAGTGTGATGAGCATTAAACCAAAGATAAGGGCAAGATGCTGTGGAAACCAAAAGAGGTAGTAATAAATTTGTCCTAGGACAGAGTAGAAGTTGGGTAAGGTTTCACGTGGATATTAGCATCTAAGCTGGGCTTTAAAGGGGTGCCATCCAGCAAGATTTAGGAGTCAGATCAGGACTGGGTGAGAAGATATCAAACAGCACTTGCTACCAGTGAGGCCAGCACTGTTCAGAAAAGGTGGCTGGGCCAGACACAGGGGAGCTCAGAGCCTACCACCCACTGCTCCTTGCTGTTCTCATCTGAACTGGATGGCTGCAAACTAAGTCTTCTTGTTTCACCCCAACCCTTCTATAGGAGTCTTCACAGAGCCTTAAGCCTTATTCCTTTAATGTAGAAATCATTTATTTCTTTAACACAAACTTACAGAGTGCTTACTGCATGTTAGGCACTCTGCTAAACATGAGGGATACATGAGTAAACAAAACAAAAACCTCTGCCTTCACTGAGCCCATTCTCTCACAGCAAGAGACAGCCACATAGAGCAAACCGTAATAGATAAATACAAACACCTAAATTTGGAGTCTTCAAAAGTAGTACTATTTTAAAAACGGAGCCATGAAAAGGGATCAAGAAGAATGGAGCTGGGACAGGTTGACATGGTAAGTAGCGTGGTCAGGATAGGCCTCCTGGGACAACTGATAGTAAGGTCTATGTGGACTTAGCCTTGTGGGCGGTTAGGGAAGAGTGTTATAGACACAGGGAATAGCCCATGCAGACAGCAAGAGAGTTGCAACAACAGCAAGGAGCAGAGAGCAAGGCGCAGAAGGATAAAGTCAGAGAAGTAACAGGGTCATCTCGTGAAGGGTGAGGGTTTTATAAGGGATCCGGCTTTTCCTTGAGCCAAAGAATGACATGCTCTGACTTACCTTTTTTTTTGTAAATCAAATTCTTTTTAATAATATATAGGTTTTACTTATATAATCATAAAATAAGCAATTAAAATATTATGAAAGAAATCTTACTTTACATGGGTACAGAAGAACAATAAAATGTATTTATTAATTATGAAATTAATGTAGTGAATGTCAGGTAAAAAAAGTGTATCTACAATCATGATTAGTTGCAAAGTACATATTTTTAAATTATTTATTCACTAGAATTGGGGTGTTATCCCCAAATCAATACACTTGACACTTTCTAGCCCACTGACAGACATTTTCTCGTAGCAGTGAGAATTTTGAGTTACTCAGTGTGCAGATTTTCAGCCTAGGTTGAACAAGGTGATGTTCTACCTTCTTAGTACAACTCATTACCTCTTTGTGGTCTTCCTGATTCCACAGTTGTAATACTTCTGTGTTTTTTGTGAATGGCTTTGCTGTTTCAAATGCCCCCACCTATGTTGCTGAAATGCTATCAAATATTCCTCAGTGCAAGAAGGCTGTTGTATGTCTTATGGAAAAAGGATGCATTATAGATAACTTTTGTTTAGGGATGAGCAATAATGCTATTGCTATAAAATTTGATGTTAATGATGAACAATATATCTTAAATAAGGTGTCTGACTTACCTTTTAAAAAGCAACATCCTGGCTCCTGTTAGAACTCTGGGCCTGACACCCCAGGCCTGATGAAACTCCAAGCAGATAGTTAGTCTAAAGGCTGGTGGGAAGTTTATCGCTCTGGAGCGCCCCACCTGGGGACATGGCAAACTGCTCAGATAGCGCGCTGGGAACCTCACCAAGGAGCCTTTCTCCATGTCTCCCACCCACCGTCTCCAGCCGTGTTGTGCTCTGCACCTCCCCCAGTGAGCCACTTGAGAAGGGCCCCTGCCTGCTGCTCAGATGGAGTGAAGCTTGGCTTCAAACCCCTGCTCCGTGTCCGGGCAGGCTCAACCCCACTCTCTCTATCCACCCCTCAATTGGTTCCCCCTAAAATAAACTCTTCTTTACTGTAACTAGCCACTACCCCTCCTTCTTCAAGCTCTAAAATCCTAAAACCCAACTCCCTTCTGGTTTGGATAGCACCTTCCCTCGATCCTCTAATAATGACTCTGTCCTTTGTTTTGGACCCTGTGTATTTAATCTGCTTGTTAGATCCGATGCCTTCAGACTTGGAGCAATGAGATTCTAGATGGCCATGCAGGTGAAACCTCAAATGGACAGTTTCTGTGAGCTGTCACTGCAGCCCCTTTGAGAGGCCACCTTCTGCTGGAACCTCTCTTGACTGCGGGTCCCTACTTCGTCCCTATACAGCTTGAAGAATCCGGAGAGGTCCCGGCCCTAACACCTGACAGCAGCCAGGATTTCCATAAGCAGAGGGAGGAAGTGAGGGAGCTGGGGACGAGACGCGAAACAGACTAACCGCATCCCACAGCTCCTTGCCCGCACCAACACACAAAACACACGAGCGTTCTTTCTTTGTGGCAGCCAGGCATACATCTGTCTTCCCACAAATTGGACAGGGATTTGTATGCTTTCCTGTTTCCCCCTTGATCCTCCTCATTCTGGCTATCTTTTTCACCATGGGCAATGTTTCTATTAACTTATTTATTTATTTATTTATTTGACAGGCAGAGTGGACAGTGAGAGAGAGAGACAGAGAGAAAGGTCTTCCTTTGCTGTTGGTTCACCCTCCAATGGCCGCCGCGGCCGGTGTGCTGCGGCCGGTGCACCACGCTGATCCGAAGGCAGGAGCCAGGTGCTTCTCCTGGTCTCCCATGGGGTGCAGGGCCCAAGTGCTTGGGCCATCCTCCACTGCACTTCCCTGGCCACAGCAGAGAGCTGGCCTGGAAGAGGGGCAACCGGAACAGAATCCGGCGCCCCGACCGGGACTAGAACCCGGTGTGCTGGTGCCGCAAGGCGGAGGATTAGCCTAGTGAGCCGCGGCACCAGCTTCTATTAACTTATTTTGTCCCCATAATCATAGTGCTTCTATTCCTACCATGTATGATTAACATACTTCAAAAGTTCATACAGGAACAGGTGACTGCTATATCCTGAGCCATCGCACAGGAAAATCACAAGACTGCTCTTCAGTCAATCTGATCTAGAGTATAGATACATCACCCCAAACCAACACCCTATACCAGCAGGAAGTAGCCAGAAAGAAGCCAGTGTCCTGTCTCCCTATCTATGCTCAGTCAGGATTGATGAAGCAAGGGCATAGGCCTCAGAGCCACGTTAGCTCTTTGCCTGAGGGCAGATCAGGGCCCCCTGGGGACTCTCTAGCCCACTTCGTTCTTAAGCTGGCTGAGTCCCACACCCTGTGTTCTTCTCCACCCCATCATCTGCATTAAGAAAGGCCTACCAAGTTTGAAAAGCCCAAGACAAGCTAGCTCGGTTCCGCTCCCCCATCCACCCATGACCCTTACCTGGTTTATGCTATATAAACCCAGCCCATCACTAAACTCTTACTCTCTGCCAGGTGCTCGCTCTGTGTGAATGGTGGCAGTTAGCCACCTCTTTGAACTGACTTTCCCTTGAATAAATCCATTTTGGCTGTGAGTTCCTATCCTGTCTTCTCTCTGTTCTGCCCCCTCTTTCCTTACAGCTCCTATATTGGGAGTAGGCTATTGAGGACAAGGTTGAAATAGGGAGAATGCTTGGGAGTCATCAGCAATCCAGTAGAAGGAAGAAGGTAGGCAAAGAGCAGGACATAAGCAGAGAAAGTGGCATGACGTGGAAGGGTTTGGGAGGTACTGTCAAGACAGAGCAGCCAGGATTTGCTGATGGATTGGCTATGAGGCCAGAATGAGGAGGGCTCAGTGAGGACACTGTTTTAACCTGAGCTTCTAGAAGAATGGAGCTGCCATCTCCTGAAAAGGGAATGGTGACGGGCGAGATAGGACTAAGGATAAGATGAGATGTTATATCTGGGACATATTACGGTTAGATGCCCCAGTAGAGGCGTGAATCTGAGTTCATGAGAGAGGTTATGATGGAGAGATTCATCTGGAAATCATTCGTGTATAAATTGAGCTGAGGGTCATGATACTGAGTGAGATCAGAAAGTGAGTATATAGAAGTGAAGAAGAGAATAAGGCCACCCACAGAGGGAAAAGGAAATAGCCACAAAAGACGAGAGGGAGCAGCTAACGAGGTAGGAGGAACGCCCAGGCAATGTAGTTTCCTGGAAGCCAAATGAAGAACATCATCGTTAAGGAAGAAGAACGGCCAGCTACATCAAATGCTACTGAAAAAAATAGAAAACTGACCTTTGCCATTTGACTATGTGCAGCTTATTCTAAAATCTGAGGGCTCCTTGATATTCTCACAAGAGCAATTTTGGTGATGTGGTGAGGATAAAGTTTGTTATAATAAATCACATGCAATCTCAGCTTTAGAACCATGCTCTCTGTCCTATTTCTGTGTCTGACCCACGTCTGATCCTCCTAGCCAGGAGGATCAACTACTCTCCTTGCTATTTTCTGTTTTCTCTCTTCCTATCAGTTTTGAACTTGGTTCTTGGCCACATTTCCATGGTTACAACTTGGGTTCCTGTAAATAATGACCATCCTAGCCACATTACCTTCAGGTGCCTCAAATTTCTCAAATACAAAGTTCTCTGTGGCCTTGACTTTATTAAACTTCAAGCTCTATGGCTAGTGGATTTGTTCTAGTCTTAGAGTCAAAAGGAGCTTACCATAGACAATTCTGCCAAAAAAAATCTTTGTGGTTCTCACTCTATCAAGTTCATTTCTTCCCTTCAACTTGGTCTGTTTTAATTTTTACTGAGGCGTGTTCACCAGCCTCTTTCTAGCACTTGGCCCTATCTTTCCATGAGATGGAGATCCTTCATGCCTTGAACTAGCCTAGTTTCTCTTGGTGGCCAGTAGCCGTGGGCACTGAATGGCAGTAAAGTAAGACACATCCATTCACAGCAATAGGACAAACATGTGGTATAGAAGTCTGTTCTGAGAGACACAAACGCTGCCCAGAGGTTGTAAAATCCAGTAGTTCCCCAGGGTTCACTCCCACTGCACATATAAGTATGCACATACATGAGGAGCTCACTTCAGCCATTTTATATGATTTAAATTTGATTGCATGAAGTAAAATGAATGGAAAGTACATTTAATGGCTTTTCCAAAAATGTAACTACCGCACCAAGTTAGCCAGGTGAATGAATAATTTTGTTGAGATAAGGAAGCAAACAGCAAAAACAGATAGGAATTTGAAAAGATCAGGGATCTGGCTGGGAAATAAAAAATTGACTTCCTTTCTAGATAACACAGTGGTGAGTGGTGCCCAATTCTGATTTCTTGCAACTGATTTGTCTAATCACAATCATTAGTGCTCATTAAGGTGTTTCCATAGAAACAATGTCTAAGGTGTACGAATGCTTCAAAATGTTCAAATGGACTTTTTTCAAACAGAACAAGAAGCAAGACTTCAAGATAGAAGTCTGACCCCAAACGGTACATCTAACCTTTAAAGTAGGAAGATTTTTGAATGCAAGTGCATTTGATTCAGGTAAATTCAAACATTATCTTGGGGGAGGGGGTGAGACTGTGGGACAAAACGTTATAAAATGCTCTTTTGCAATGTGTTCTTTATTATATCCTTAAAAAAAGGCCATTGACTTATATGTTGAACATAATCATGCACATTCACATAATATATAGGGTTTTAGCCTCAAAATCCTGAAGTCAGAACTTACAGGTAATGTAAAGAATTCCAAAGGGTAATTTTGACTTTACTTGCTTTTTACTTTAAACTGTGTCTTAGAAACCCGACTGGGGCTGGTTCTGTGGCGTAGTCAGTTAAGCTGTCGCCTGCAGTGCCAACATCCCCTATGGGAGGGTCTTGTTCTGGCTGCTTCACTTCCAATTCAGCTCCCTGTTAATGTGCCTGGAAAAGCAGCAGAGGATGACCCAAGTCCTTGGGCCCCTGCACCCACACACTTTCAGAGACCCAGAAGAAGCTCTTAGCTCCTGACTCCTGCCTGGCCCAGCCCTAGCTGTTGCAGTCATTTGGGGAGTGAACCAGTGAATGGAAGACCTCTGTGTCTCTCCCCTTCTGTAACTCTGTCTTTCAAATAAATAAAATATATCTTTAAAAAAAAAAAAAAAGACAGAAACCTGACTGGTAAGCAGCCTGTGACTCCATTGTGAGTTCAAATGTCCTTCAGTGAGTGAGAAGGCCCATTAGATGGATGTCTCCTGGTTCCCAGGTATGGATCCAAATCTGATTGTTAATAAAGTGGGGTTGGGGCTGGCGCTGTGGCGCAGTAGGTTAATCCTCCACCTGCAGCACCAGCATCCTATATGGGCGCCGGTTCTAGTCCCAGCTGCTCCTCTTCCCATCCAGCTCTCTGCTATGGCCTGGGAGAGCAGTAGAAGATGGCCCAAGTCCTTGCGCCTCTGCATCTGCATGGGAGACTGGAAGAAGCTCCTGGCTCCTGGCTTCGGATCAGCACAGCTCCATTTGGGGAGTAAACCAATGGACAGAAGACCTCTCTCTTTGTCTCTCCCTCTCACTGTCTGAAACTCTACCTGTCAAATAAATAAATAAATAAAATTAAAAAAAATAAAGTGGGGTCTTCATCTGTCAAATCCTGGGGTTCACCAGGAACAGAAAGAAGGGAAGTTAGACTGGCTCTAAGCATTCCTGATTGGCCCGTTAGGTCTTTTCCAGAATTGTACAGAGGTTATTTGAGTCACACCAAGACGACTGGAAGACAACCCAGGTGAAAAGACATTTCAACTAGGAGAACATATTCCAAAGCCAAAGACTTTGTGAGCTATCATATTAAAAGTGTTGAGTTGAGAGCTGAGTTGAGTTAGAAATGGATTTTTTTTTTTTTTTTTTTTTTTTTGCCCATGAGTTTGTTTTCCTAGCTGCTAAGGACATACAGAGAAAGCTAGAAAAATCCCCTGGGCCTATTTCTATTCTTGGAGACCGTGCACATGGTAAATCTACAGAACCAACTTGAGTCTTATGGAAGGGAGTATATATTTACAGGGATTAAAATAGTGGCACATTAAAGTCAGGCAGGTGCTTGACTGGGGAATGTGAAACCATCTTGTCCAGAGTCTCTGGAGGTTTTTATGTAAATGTTTTCAGCAAAATAAACTGTTACTAGGAAAACATGTTGTCATAAATATAAGAAGGGTCTGCAGGCCTGAAATGTATCTGGCTGCCTTCTCCTTCCTTTGTAATCCCACTAAGCCGAGATGCTCGGCAGGCGAAGGCAGCTCTCCTTGCAGCCTTCAGCCCCGCGGCTGTGGGCACAAGATGGTAAGTGTCCTGAACTTCCAGTAAACAGTTTTTCTCCACTAATGACTCGTGACCTTTTAAAGACTGTGTATTCAGCAAACTGTTTTGACCCGGGAGGCCCTTACATGATATACAGGTTGATCTACAGACAGCAAAGAAGTCTGTTGGAGGGAGGGAGTGGTTTCACAAAGCATCACCCGCGGAGCCCGGTTCTGAACCTGCCATTGCAGCTGTGGAGTTGAGTTAGAAACAAAAGCCATTACTGTAAGATTATGAACCCTGAATTTGTATTATTTCGTAAAAGCATATTTAGAATTTTATCTTTGCTTTATGTTAAAAAGGCTCCACCAAGTAAATTTATAAGGTGAACAAGATAATTATTGAAGTTTTTGCTTACTTTTGAATCTGTTTTTAAGGACTTTGGATGCAATTATTTATAAACAACACATTAAATAAAACCCTAAGTTCATAATGCTTTGCTGCATTCATTGTACATCACTCTTAGCTATCTAGTTGAGGATTTTCCCTGAATCATTTTACTAGCTTCTCTTCACTTAGCCAAGAGACACTTAGCATTTGCAGTGTCCTTACCATTCAGTCATTCAAGAGTTCACAAAGATTTATTTTGTCCCAGTTATGTGCTGGGCCCTTCTTTAGGCCTTGGGACAATATTAGTGAACAAAAGAGCTAAACATTTTATTTTATTCATTTATTTGAAAGACAGAGATACAGAGATACACCCCCTAGTTCATTCCCCAAATGGCTGCAATGGCTGGCTCTCTGCCAGATTGAAGCCAGGAGTTTTATTCTTTTTCTTTTTCTCTTTTTTTTTTTTTTTCTCCCACACAGGTGCAGGGGCCCAAGGACTTGGGCCATCTTCTACTGCTTTCCCAGGCCATAGCAAGAGCTGGATCAGAAGTGGAGCAGCCGGGACTCCAGCTGCCTGTATGGGATGCAGGCGGCAGCTTTACCCACTACGCCACAGCACCAGCCCCCGAGCCCCACTTTAGATACAGGGAGAATTCCACAAGGAAGTGATGATGACACCCCAGCAAGAAGGATAAGAAGGAGTTGGATATCATAGCCTGCAGAAGTGGGGAAAGTTTCCAGGCAGACTGATGGCCCAAGGTTTGGAAGAGTCTGCCGCTGGAGAAACCTAGAGGAAGCTCTTGGGAGGAGCCCTGGGCTACAGGGGGAACCAGATGGCAGTGAGATGTATGGACTTCACCCTACGGGAAGTGGCAAGGGAGTGGCAGCACTGATTCTGTTTGTAAACAATCATTTTGGCTGCTGGAGGATGGATGGCAGAGGCAGGAGAGAAGCTTTGAGGCCGTTGAGGATGCTGAGAGCCCACGGCGGTCTGGAGAGGGAGGTTAGGAAGGACGTGGGGTGTCATTCTGGAGGCTGATTTGAGAGCACTTATTAGAGAGTGGGACAGGGATGGGAAGAGTGAAGGGAAGGAACCAGGTTGAAACTGGTAGAAATGCCACATACTAAACAGGAAAGGTTCAGGTAGACATGAGATTGGCTTGGGCGAGGGGCAGGGCGATGTGAACAGGTACAAGTTCCCTTTAGACGTGCTGCTCCTGTGATGCTGATTGGGCATCCACACAGAAGTGTCCTGTAGCCTAGACACCGAGTCTAGACTGAGGGACTCTGTAAGCTGAGGCCTCAAGTTGGTAGCCATCAGTAAGTGAATACAGACGAAAAGGGGTCAATTAGTCGACAACTCTTTACCGCACACTCACTGTGTCTCAGGCATACTGCCCAGTCACTGTGGACAAATAAAAGTGCATAAGAAGAGATCTTTATCCTCAAAAACTTGCACTCTGGGTGAGGAGAAAGACACATAAAATGAAAGTAGACATCAAAAGAGGGCACAATGTATTAGTTCTGTGAGTAACTACCAAGGGTGTTGAGATTGAGAAACAATCTATGGTGGTTATGGTAGCCTGGGGACCTACGTGGGGGACTGGGCCAGGATTCAGGGGGATCGTGAAGCTTCCCAAATGGGATGGTTTGCACATCTGTGTGTACTTTTTTTCCTAAGAGATTTATTATAGTCTCAGTGGTTTTTGTGAATCAAAAAAGATTAGATGTATTGTCATGGGAGACAAATTTATTCGCACAGGTAAGGATTGTTTAAATAGTAGAAGATACAGAGAAAGATGGGGGATATTTCAACAAATGGGGAAAGGGAGCAAAGAAACTCTAAAATAGAAAATTGAAGGCATCTGTTTGGGATAATTTCAGATTTTGTTATTGGGGTAGGAGATTCATATGAAAAAGTGAAGAAACTGAGACTGGAGAAAGGTGGGGACTGACATGAAATGGGGGATTTATTCATCCATTTTTTGTTACTATAGAAAAATTCCTAAGGAAGGTTAGCTCCACGAGAAAACAGATTAATTTTTGGCTTATAGTTTTGTAGATTCAAGGGCAACTCTGTTTGCCCTTGTATGTGGCATTTCTACTAACAGTTTCAACCTGGTTCCTTCCCTTCACTCTTCCCATCCCTGTCTCACTCTCTAATAAGTGCTCTCAAATCAACCTCCAGAATAATGCCCCACGTCCTTCCTAACCTCCCTCTCCAGACTGCCGTGGGCTAAGTAAGCTCTCAGCATCCTCAACTTTGTCAACTCTGCTTTGGTGAGAACCACTCTGTGGATGGTGGCACTGGGTTGCAAGAGGAGGAACTCAACATTGCTAAACAAGAAGCCACAGCAAGACTGGGATCCCACAATCCCTGTAAGGGTAAGGGCCTCCCACCAGATCCTGTCTCTGAAACGAACCACCTCTCAAGATCCCCACACTGAGGACTAACCTCCCAATACATGCACTTTGGGGAGCACATTAAACCATACCCAAACCATAACAGGTGGTTAACTGGAAACTAAGCACATTGAACTTTCTCCTACAGACCACGGGAAATCACTGAATCCAATTCAACTAGAAGAAAAACGAGCGTGTGATAAATAGACTTCACTTGATCTTAGCCAAAAAGCCAAGAAGCGATGTGATAAATATATTTCAATGTGAGACATGCTGGTGGGGGCTTGGAGATACACACGTTGGGAGGGGGTGGCTTAAATTTCCACACAGAATAGGTGTTCTGTGTAGCAGTTAAGCCGCTGATTGGAACCCCTGCATCCCATACCTATGTGCCTGGGTTTAAACCAGAACTCTACTTCTGATTGCAGCTTCCTCCTGATGCACACCCTGGGAGGCAGCAGGTGATGGCTTAAGTACTTGTGTTTTTGCCACCCATGTGGGAGGCCTGGATTGAGTTCCTGCTTTCTGGCTTTGTCCTTAATGAGTGCCCATTGTGGATGTTTGTGGAATGAACTAGAAAATGGGAGCTTTTTCCTCTGCTTTGCTCTCTGCTTCTGTGTTTCTCTCTTCCTCTCTGTCTCTCCCCCTCTAAAATAAACGAATAGTTTTAAAAGCTCCACACAGCATAACAATGCTAGTTAGCAACAATTAGCAATTGTTTTGTGCTTGCTATGGGCTAAGCCCTGTGCCAAGTGCTGTGAGTGGATTGTCTAATATAATCCTCATACCTTGACTGAGTGTACCCTATGGGGATGCAGGGAATTTGAATTACATGTTCCCAGTTGTGTGGCTGGGAATGATGGAGCCAGTGTTCAGGCTCAGGCAGTGTGACACTGTCCACGCTCTGAAAGGTGGCTGTCACCTGGCTTCTCCTCTAGGGATATTGATGCTCATGGAGACAAAATGCAGCTTAACAAGGGATATGAACAGTGACATATATCAACTGGATTTCAAGATTTAAATATCAATATATATGTGACAATAGGCATGGTTGTAAAAATCACATTTTTTAATGAGCTTATTATATAGCACTTACACAGAAAAGTTCAAGATCATGAACATACAGCTGGAAGTACTTTCCCAAAATAAAAACAGCCATGTAATTGACATTGTCACCAAAATAAACCACTCTCTGGGCTTTAAATGCCACTGATGAGTTTGTACTGGTTTGGAATTTTATAGAAAGAGAATCATATAGAATATTATCTTTGCAGCTGGCTTATTTTCCTTAATATTATATTTGTGGAGTTTATCTCTGTTGTTGCATGTGACAATAGTCTACTTATTAAATTCACATTAATTCTTTTTTTTTAAAGATTTATTTTTTTTTTGAAAGTCAGAGTTACAGAGAGAGGAGAAGCAGAGAGAGAGAGAGAGAGAGAGGTCTTCCATCGGATGGTTCACTCCCCAATTGGCTGCAACGGCTGGAGCTGCGCCG